CCTCATGAATATAGATGCAAAAATCTTCAACAAAATCCTAAACAATAGACTCCAACAACATATCAAGAAAATCATTCATTATGACCAAGTGGGGTTTATATCAGGTATGCAGGGATGGTTCAACATTAGAAAAGCAATCAACATCATCCACCACATAAACAAAACAAAAGAGAAGTATATGATCATATCAATTGATGCAGAAAAGGCACCTGATACTTTCTTGATAACTGATTTGTTTAGTGTCTCTCTTTTACCAAACTAAAATCAATTACCTGTTCACCATTGTCTCCCAGTGTCTAGGACAACGTCTGGCACATATTAAAAAAACAAACCAAACTCACTGCCGTGGTGTCGTTTCCACTCACAGTGACCCTCCTTGAGTTTCCAAGGCGGTATCTCTACAAAAGTAGATTACCCCATCTTCCTTCTGAGATGTGACTGGTAGGTTTGAACCGCCCGCCTTTTGGTTAGCAGTCGCATGTCTTAGGCACTACACTACCAGAGCTCCTTGGGACATATTGTTGTTGTTGTTATGTGCCGTCGAGTCGGACCCGACTCATAGCGACCCCTTCTTGGGTTTCCAAGGCAGTATCACTACGGAAGTAGATTGCCCCATCTTCCTTCGAGGAGTGGCTGGTGGGTTTGAACCGCCAGCCTTCTGGTTAGCAGTCAAGTGCCTTAGCCACTATGCTACCAGAGCTCCTCCTCAAGAATGTGGCAATTGCACGCGATGACCCGAGGTCGTGCTCAAGCGTGGGAAGGTATACCAGAAGGAACACGAGCAGAGACACGTGAGAAGTACACTTAGGGGTAGGGTAGGTTAAAAAGAAATCGTGCAACGACACGGAAGCCAACGTGAATGTAAAGATTTGGGGCACAAAAAGAGGAAAGTGAGTGGAAAAGCTAGGTTCTCAAAAGGTCCTAAGAACAAATGAGGTGAAACGCAGCACGAGCTTAACCGGGAAGTACCAGATAACCTGGAGAACGGAGGAGAGTGAGAACCTGCTACCTCAACTGGGTGGAAAAAAAATCAGTGGGCCCTCTGAGACTACAGATTAGAATCTGGGGACAGAGCTAATTTTAGAACCTTCTGGGGTCTTTAAAACTACCGTTACGGGGTTGAGACATCTCTCCGCATTCAACCTGTCCGATCGCGGGGTCAGAGGAGAGCAAGCAGCTGCGGTCGGAGACACAGATCTGGACAAGGAGACTGCTCATGGTCACCACCTTTTCGTGACTACGAGTCTGGGCTCACGTCTCCGGCAGGTGCTCTAGGCTGGGCCTCAGTAGGACCGGGAAGGGTCAAGCCCCGGGAGAGGGGTCCGTCCGCAGTCTGGGCCCAGCCGGGCGTACGCCGCGTCCTGCGCTGCCCTCCCACGCCTGCCTCCTCTCCTACCTGCCGGCGCGCGGACTCGACCAGTCCCGACGCTTCCCCTGGACCTCGGCGGCAGGCGGAGGCGGACGGCGCGCGCCCACCCTAGTCTGCAGCTCTCAGCAGGCGCCTCCACCTGCGCCGGGCACGTCACCCGCCCCGCCCCTCGGCCCTGGCCCCCGACCGCCGGTGTCCTCCGCCCACAAGAGCGTGATGACGCGCGACGTAGCTACGCAGGCGTACTGTGTAGGCGACGCCGAGGCGCTGCTGGGACTGTGGGCGGAGGTGTGTAGCCGGCGGTGGAGTGAGAGGCGAGTTTGGGGTGCGTGGAAGATGTAGGGGTTCGGGAAATGAGAAGGAGCAGAGAAATGACCCAGAAGCCTGCCCCAGGTGCTGCGGTACTGGCGGAGTCCCGCATGCTCTTCGTGCCTTACCGGGCGAAGAGGGGAGCCAGCCCCGGGGCCGCCGCGTAGTCATTTAATGGTTTATTTCCTTGGGGGAAGGTATTGCCCGCCCTCAGGTGTAGACGTGCACGGAGTGTTTTCTTTCCAGATAGTTCCCTGGGGCATGTGATTTGGGGAAAGAACACAGGATTTGCAAATCTGGCTTGTACTTTGTTTTCGGCCGGGAGCTACGGCTTAATTGCTTTGCTCGGTCTCCTAATCCGTGAAACGAGATGGTTGGACTCCATCATTTTAAAGGCCGCTTTCAGAACTACCATCCTATGATTCTTTCTTCCCCGGATCCTCACTTTGATCCCACCGCTGGGTGGGAAAGGAAATCGTTACGGTAGTGGACGTGTTAGAACCTGGGTTGGGCACACCCGTGTGGAATCACACCGCTTGCTTCAATTAGTATTTATTGACAGTGGGTAAAATTTATGAGAAAGATTTATCCTTTTTTAACATTCCAAATAGATTCTTTTTCTCTTATTGAAAAATCAGAACGTCCGTATGTTTTCTTAACTTCTAAGTCTTTTGTAGACTTGAACGTTTATTATTGCTATTTAGTGAAACAAATGGCCAAAGTATATTGAAGTTGATACTTCTGAATTTTATGTCATTTATTCCTTTGTCAGCATTCTTGAAGTCCTCTGCGCCTTCTGACCGGGTGAAGATGGTCAACGTCTTGAAAGGAGTGCTTATAGAATGGTGAGTAGCTTTGATACTGTGAGATTTAGATGTACAGGTTGAATCCTGCCTTTTTTGGATACGCCTTCTAAAATGTATTTATTTGTTTATTTGTCTATTTAATTTTAAGAGCTGCGTAAAAGTGGTCTTTCAACTTCCTCAACTTCTGTTTTTTTTCAGTTACATGCTACATGGGACAGATTGGGATGCTAGGCTGCTTGTGCCCTAGTGCCAGATCTCAGTGTCTGTTAAACTGAGAACATTGAGATGTTTTGTAGCTGAATTTTTCATCAGAGACAGCATGTTTGATAGATAAACCCTTTTTAGAGCCGTAGTACTTATGTTCTACTCAAACCATCAGGGTTGACTAGCATTTTAGAGCCTGCAAGGGTTGAGGATGTGCCTAAATCTTCCTCATTAAGTCCTTAAAAAAAAGAAGAAGAAAGAAGAAAAACTCCAGGAGAGCCAGTTGGAGAAGCTTTCTGAAGACCTGTGCACACATTCCAGGGGACAAACTAGAAACCGTAATGGGCAGGCTTGAGGTCCTTCAGAGCACTCCAACTCAGTCTTAGTTGTAACACAGGTTCATACATGTTACAGCCAAAAAACCCTCAGTGCTGTCTACTGATTGTCATAGCGACCCTGTAGTATAGTGGTTTGGGTGTGGTTTAAAACAATAACCCTCACCCTGACCCTGACCCTAGTTCAAAGGCATCCATCCTCCTGCAGTTTTCCTTATTCATTGCCCAGCTTTCACATGCATACGAGGCATTTGGCACTATCGTTGCTTGGGTCAGGCACACCTTAGTCTCCAAAGTGACATTTTTGCTTTTTAATGCTTTAAAGAGGTTTTTTGCAGCAGAACTGTCCAATACAGTACGTCTTCATTTGATTTCTTGACAGCTGCTACCATGAGCGTTGATTGTGGATCAAAGTAAAATGAAATTCTTGACAACTTCAGTCTTTTCTCCCTTTATCATGATGTTCGTTGGTACAGTGAAGTTTTTTGTTTTATGTTGAGGTGTAGTTCATACTGAAGGCTGTAGTCTTTGATCTTCATCAGTAAGTGCTTCAAGTCCTCTTCGCTTTCATCAAGCAAGATCATGTCATCTGCATATCTCTGGTTGTTAATGAGTCTTCTGCCAATCCTGATGCCGCCTTCCTCTTCATATAATCCTGATTATTTGCTCAGCATACAGGTTGAATAAGTACGGTGAAAGGATACAACCCTGATGCACACCTTTCTTGATTTTAAACCATTCAGTATCTCCTTGCTCTGTTGTAACAACTGCTTCTTGTTCTGCATACAGGTTCCTCATGAGCGCAATTAGCTGTACTGGAATTCCTATTCTTTGTAATGTGATTCATAATTTATTATGACCCACATATTTCAAAAGGCTTTGCATAGACAGTAGCCTCACCTTAGTGTAAGAAGAGGCTTGACACCTTTTCAGTGAATTAAAATATACATGTGCAGCAAGTAAAGGTGATTGTGATGAAGAATTTGTTGAGAGCTGGAGTTAGGGGTTAGGTCAGTCATTTCAAAGTGAGGAGAAAATTATATTAACATTAAAGGGCAAGTATGAGTTGTCTGTAAGCTCAGAAATAATCGTTTAAGGGAGCTCATGACTCACGGGTGGTAGTTTATTTTATAAGCCAGTCTGTTACTTGGCTGAAAGGTGGCCTACAGAAAGAGCTCCAATGCCAAGTTCAAAGGGTGTGTCAGGACGACAGTCTCAGGGCTCCTTTAGTCTGTATTGGTCCAGTAGGTCTAGCCTTTTCTAGGAATTTGTGTTCTGTTCTATATTTTTCTCCCACTCTGTCCAGGACTTCTGTCATGTCCCTGGTCAGACAGTTGGTCGTGGTAGCCAAGTACCATCTAGTTCTTCTGATCTCAGGTTCGAAGAGGTATTCGTGTGGTCTCTTAGTTCCATGGACGGCTTCTTTGAGCCTTTGATTTCCTTCCTTGTCTTTTGCGTCATACTAGTAGAGAGACCTGTAGTTGGATCTTAGGTGGCCTCTTGCAAGCTTTTAAGACCCCAGATGCTACTTACCAAACCAGGATGTAGAACATTATCTTTGTGAACTCTGTTATGCCAAATGACTAAATTGTCGTGTGTTGTGCTCCGCCCCCCCCCCCCCCACTACGATCTCAAACCTTTTGACCAGTGAACCAATCCTGTGAGTTGTTTGGCTATGTCTAGGAAGCCTCTGTAACTATGCCCACTATACGATTATACATGTGGGTACTACATATGCTGCACACACAAACGTGTATACGTGCATGCATTTACTCACATAAGCCTTCTATGCATATATATGCATCCATACCTACCTACATAACCACAGAAGTATTTTTGGTCATTTTTATTGTTGCAGAATTGTAAATGGCATAGTATTTACTGAAATTGTCCCTTTTTCTTGTGTACTTGGTACCATTATTTACTCATATTTAGGATTACCCTTCCCATCACCATGAGTAACAAGTGTCTACTATCTAGAAAGCGATTCCTCCTCTCTCTCCCTCTCATCTCTGATAATCATCAAAGAACTTTGCTTCCTGTGTTTGTATCTATTCTTGACTTTTATAACAGTGGGACCATACAAAAAAACAAATACTGATGTATTCCACTCAGCGGAGTGTTCTCCAGATTCACTCATGTTCTGTTTTGTAGACTCCGTCATTGTTTATAGTTGCATAGTATTCCATTATACATAGGCACCACGATTAGTTTATCCATTCGTCTATTGATGGGCCCTTAGGTTGTTTCTACCTTCTTGCTATAGTGAATAGTGCTGCAATGAGCATAGGTGTGCATGTGTCTGTTCCTGTCACTGCTATTATAGCTCTAGGATGCACACCCAGGAGTAGGATTGCTGAGTCATAAGGCATTTCTGTTTCTAGCTTTTTGAGGAAGCACCATGCTGTGTTCCCCAATGGTTCAACCATTTTGCCATCTTACCAGCAATGTGTAAGAATTCCAGTCCCCTCACAACCTTGCCAGAAGCATTTGTTTTCTGATCATTGCTATTTTTGCAGGAGTGAGATGGTATCCCATGCTAGTTTTGATTTGCACATCAGTAATGGCTAATGAAGGTGTTCTGGTAGTGCAATGGTTAAGTGCTTTGATGATAACCAGAATGTCAGCAGTTTGAACATACAGCTGCTCTGTGGGACAAAGACATGGCATTCTGCTTCCATGAAGATTACAGCCTTGGAAACTCTATTGGGCAGTTCTGGAGCTCTGGTAGCATAGTGGCTACGGCACTTGACTGCTAACCAGAAGGCTGGCGGTTCAAATCCAGCAGCCACTCCTCGGAAGGAAGATGGGGCAATCTACTTCCATAGTGATACTGCCTCGGAAACCCAAGGAGGGGTCGCTATGAGTCGGGGCCGACTTGACGGCAAACAACAACAACAACAACAACCCTATAGCGTCACTGTCTTAGGCTAGGTTCTCTAGAGAAGCAAAACCAGTAAGGCATGTATATAGCTATATATATAGATACATATATATGCCTTACTGGTATACATACACACATAGATAGATAGATAGATGTTGTTGTTGTTGTTATGTGCCGTTGAGTCGACCCGACTCATAGTGACCCCTCCTTGGGTTTCCGAGGCAGTATCACTACGGAAGTAGGATTGCCCAATCTTCCTTCCGAGGAGTGGCTGGTGGGTTTGAACCGCCAGCCTCCTGGTTAGCAGTCAAATGCCTTAGGCACTACGCTACCAGAGCTCCTATGTGTGTGTGTGTGTGTGTGTGTACTTATGTATATGTATCTGTGTGTGTGTATATATGCACACATACATGTATGTATATGTGTATATGTATGTATATGGGGAGGACATAAATTTATGTCGGGAAAATGGCTCAGACAATTACAGAGGGTGGCAAGTCCCAAGTTCCTGGATCAGACGTCAAGCTGGAGGCTTTTCCTGACTCACACAGCTGTAGGGACTGATGAGTCCACCACAATAGGCAGGCAGTATAGCAGGCTGCTGACTTTGGTGGATGACAAATCTAAGAGCAGCAGGCAAAATGGCAGATTGTTGGCTCACAGAACAGTTACAGAGGCTGACAGGGTCCAAGTTCGTGGGCCAAATGTCAAGCTGGAGGTGTTTCCTGACTCAGGCTGCTAGGGGCTGACTAACTCAAGATCAGCAGGCAACATGACAGGATACAGATCCAACAGGAAGTCCCCCAATTTTCCCAGGACTTACATATATGTGTGTGTATGTATATATATATATGCACGTGTATAGATAAGTAAACATATACATATATGTACACGTCACTCACCAAACAGACTCACTGCCGTCAAGTCAGATCCGACTCCTAGCAACCCCCTTGGCTTTCCGAGGTGGTATCACTACAAAAGTAGATTGCCCAACCTTCCTTCCAAGGAGTGGTTGGTGGGTTTGAACTGCAAGCCTTCTGGTTAGCAGTCACATGCCTTAGGCACTATGCCACCAGAGCTCCTATACATATACATACACGTACACATACACGTGTGTGTGTGTAGTTGCATACACATATGTATAAATATACCTACACATATGCACATACAGGAAGCAGGTCACACCGGAAACTCTCAACTGCTTGGCTGCTCAAAGCATATACATCAGATCTCATGGGAATGACCTCACAGCTGTTAAACCACTCAGAGTCACGGTCCAGCCAAGTTGACCTACAGCCTTAATGATCACAGTCACTGTGAGTAGAAATTGACTCGACAGCAGTGGGTTTGTTTGGGGTTTGGAAGGATAATGATGACAGGCATCTTTTCAGGTGTGTGTTGGCCGCCTCAGTGTCCTCCTTGGTAAAGTGTCTGTTCATGTTCTTTGCCCTTTTTTCTTGAATGGATTGTCTGTTGTTGAGTTGTTGGAAGTTTTCTGTGTATTTTAGAGGTTAGACTCTTATCAGATATGTTATTGCCAAAGATAGTTTCTCAGTCTGTAGGTTCTCTTTTTACTCTTGGTACAGTCTTTCTCTGCGCTTAAGTGTTGAATTTTA